AGTTTGGTTTACAAAGACACTAACCTGTCAAAACTCAGATACATTTTGGGGTCTTTGGTTTTATCCTTGTGGTATAAAAATGGTATCTGATATTTTCCTGAGTATCGGTACCTGGTTTAACATGTTAGTACCTGACCCACCTGGATGTGGTTCAGCTCCTCCGTGACCCCCGGGGGTTAGGGTTAGGGTTAGGATCAGGGTCAGGGTTAGAGTTAGGGTCATTAATGTGGGCTAGGGTTAGGGTTAGGGTCAGGGCCAGGGTTAGGGGTCAGGGTTAGTTTTAGGGTCAGGGTTAAGTTTGGTTTACAAAGACACTAACAAACTGTCAAAATTCAGTTAAACTTTGGGGTCTTTGTTTTTATCCTTGTGGTATTAAAATGGTATCTGATATCTTCCTGAGTATCGGTATATGGTTTAACATGTTAATACCTGACCCACCTGGATGTGGGCCAGCTCCTCCGTGACCTCCGGGGGTTAGGGTCAGGGTTAGTTTTAGGGTTAGGATCAGGGTCAGGGTTAGAGTTAGGGTTAGAGTAAGGGTTAGGGTTAGGGTCAGGGGTAGGGTCAGGGTCAGGGTTAGTTTTAGGGTTAGGATCAGGGTCAGGGGTAGGGTCAGGGTCAGGGTTAGAGTTAGGGTTAGGATCAGAGTCAGGGTTAGGGTCAGGGTTAGTTTTAGGGTTAGGATCAGGGTCAGGGTCCGGGTTAAGTTTGGTAAGACACTAACCTGTCAAAACTCAGATACATTTTGGGGTCTTTGGTTTTATCCTGGTGGTATAAAAATGGTATCTAATATTTTCCTGAGTATCGGTACCTGGTTTAACATGTTAATATCTGACCCACCTGGATGTGGTTCAGCTCCTCCGTGAGCCCCGGGGGTTAGGGTTAGGATCAGGGTCAGGGTTAGAGTTAGGGTTAGTTTTAGGGTTAGGATCAGGGTCAGGGTTAGAGCCAGGGTTAGAGTTAGGGTTAGGGTCAGGGTTAAGTTTAGGGGTTAGGGTCAGGGTCATTAATGTGGGCTAGGGTTAGGGTTAGGTACAGGGCAAAGGTTAGGGGTCAGGGTTAGTTTTAGGGTCAGGGTTGAGTTTGGTTTACAAAGACACTAACCTGTCAAAACTCAGATACATTTTGGGGTCTTTG